GGGGGGTTCGCTCGAGCAAAAACCGTTTTGGCTCTTGCTCATAACGTATCATCGCACATGCCGATACGTTCGATGTCGATGTCGATAATGTAGACATCGAAGAAGTTGATCTTAGCAGTAGCGATGACGCTGCTGCTACTTCAGACAATGATGAAGATGCTGGGATATTCAGCATCTTCAACGATTATTTCAGCGAGGAAGAGGACAAGCTCGCTGAAGAAGAGAAGAATCTATTAGCAGTGCGCACAAGGCGAACTGAACAAAACAACGCCGAGCCAGCAGAACGATTTCTGCTAGCTCGTGAAGCAGTGGTCCGTTTCGTGCAGGATTCCATCGCTCACGAGGTGGACCGCCAGAAACGAAACGCAGACAAGAATGGAAGAGCAAATGTTCTTTCATTTAAAGTTAACGACCTAGTACTACTGTCTACGGTAAACTTACCTGGACATGCAGTCACTAGTGTCGGCAGTAGTAAACTACTGTCGAAATACATTGATCCCTTTCATGTATTGCCCAGAAAAGGCAATGCATACACCATTGAGTTGCCTCGCAGGATGAGAACGCATACTACGTTTTATGTTGGTAGTCTCCACCCGTACTATCAGCACGAGGTCTCTTCCAAGAGCGGAAATGTCCAGCACGTTCAATAATCCCCAACAGATTCTTGTGATCACGGACCAAACACTCAATTTTTTCCTTCAGCAACGCAGTCTCGCGACGAGCCGCCTCTAGCCCGTCGTGCAAATGTCGCCTCTCGCGTTCGTTCTCAAGCTGCGTGAACGCGAATTCAGATCGGTCTTTCTCCCGATCGAAGCGGAAACGTCGTACGGTCGACAACAAGTCGTGTCGACGATCGTGTTCGGGGTCGAAGTCCTCCCTCAACTCGGCCAGGTAATGTTCACGGTTACCCAAAGTATCATGCAGGCCCGGCAGCTGAGCCAGACCTTGTCTTTCCACCACCACCGGAGCCACAAGTGGATTCTCACGGTGGTAGAAGCTTTCACGTGGGGAGTATCTTGAGCCACCGCGTGAAGAACGGGGAGCGGACAAGTTACCTTGTCCGCTGGTGTAAATATCCACCATCTTATGACAGCTGGGAACCTCGATCCCAGCTTATGACTGATGTTGAGAGTCTCGTCCACCAGTACGACAAGAATCATCCGGTTGGTCCTCGGGCTCATCGGTAAACACGCGCTTTTGGAGCTTGTAGACGGATTGCCAGTTTGCAATCGCGTCCCGCATCTCAGCAGAGATGTCTGCCCTTTTCCAGGGCGAACTTAGGGAATAAACATCCCTATGTGCACGTTGCGAGTTGTCAACACAACTCGCACAAAGACCACCCCAAGTGAGGCAAGGAATGACTGCCTCACTCGACAAACGATGCAGCCGGTACCTTGTACCGGTTGGTGTTCGTTTCTCAAACTTGATGCGTACTGCGTCAAGTTTTTGGAGCCATCCTTCTCGTCCAAAATTCTTGACATTTTGGACGAACGCGTTTCATGCAGCCAAAAGCAAAGCTTTGTCACGCTTTTGATTAACAGTGTACCATCGATGCTTGAGGAAAGCATCGAGATAGAAGTCTTCTCCAGCGCAAAAGTTCTTCTCGCTGGAGCTCAAGCCATGGATCTCGCTCGCATCAAATAATGAAATTCGATGATGTTGACTTGTCTCATGAGACAAGCTATTGATGAGCTGTTCAGGCAAACGCCACGTCTTCAGCTCGTCACGCTTCGGCGTGGTATCTTTGCCGGTACCGCGGGTTCTAATATGACGACGGCTCGCGCCATCGTCAACGCGCTCGTGCGATGGCGCACGAGTTGATCGCGGTGATGAGTAATCATACTCATCACCATATTCATCATCACTGCCGAACAGACTGTCACGCATGTCGCGAGTCCGTTCTTTCGGCAGGTCTTTTGGCGAGCGAGGCACCGCGGGTGCGCGCGATGCCTCTAGCGGCTTTATCGAGTCAGACACATCTGACTTGCCTGAGTAGCTGACCCCTAGCTCGAGGTCACTGTGTGCATGTGGTGCGATACCACATGCGCCTGCAGCAACACTTGCTGCAGGCAGAGAACGAGCAGCAGACGACGAATCGTCTGCCGCAGAGGCTGGCACGGTAGCAGACTGTGTCGTCTTTGAATCACCCCGCATAGACATGTTAATTATGCGAGAAAAGTCAGAATGAATGGATCTGACCAACAAGTGCTCCCCGTCCCTTTGACATCCAACGGGTGGCCACAGAAGTTTCGATAGTCACACGGTGACTATCAGCTAAGGGGGGTGATGTAACGATACAGCCCGTTACATGATATTGTCATTAAGTCTAAAATGACAATAAAGAATATTACGTTGAATATTCTTTCAACAATATCACAGAGCATGATGATATTGTTGGAGATGACCGAAGGGTCTACTCATTAGTTGATATCGTGATGATATCAACCCACCAATCGGTGCTAGACGCGCGCAATGGGTGGTGAGTAGACGTCATCATACGTTTAGTTAGATTAATATAAATAAGTCAGGATAAACAGAGACATAATATTGATAGGACTTGATTGTATTAAATAACAGTTTTACTTTTACCAGAGACTAGAGTGTTCACTTAGTCTCCTTTCCTTCCTCTGTGTTGGTGCAACACTTAGCAGGGCAATGACTATCATTGTTGTCAGTGGAAGTGAGCTCCGTATTGGTCAACCAGTACGTTGTCACCAGTGCCCTGTTACATTCACTGACTGCAGTTAGAAATAGTTACCTGTTATAAAGCTTACACAGTACGCTTTAGAGAAAGGCTAAGCACTAAATGACTAGGCTTAGTCAAAGAAAAGGAAAACCGTATTGATAGAATCAAGTCCAGAAAATGTGTCGCATCTTTTAGTCCTGTCTCTACTATATTATAATCAAAGTGTGTATGGTGACGTCTACTCACCACCATTGCGCGCGTCTATCAGTGATTGTGGGGTTGATATAATGGCCATTTCGACCAATGAGTAGACCATTTGGTCACTGCAACAATCTCACTGAACTTAGTGATATTGTAGTGAGAATATCAGACTTGAACTTGGTGGTATTGTAGTGAGAATACAAGACTCGATATTCTTTATTATTATTTTATTGTTGTAAATGATGTTATTACGTAACAGGCTCACTTCGTTACAAGGTTGAGCTAGTGATCAATGAATGTCACACCTTTACTAGTGCTGCACGTGGCTCGTTCAAGGCCAGGTGACGATGAGACAGACTGACATTTCTCGTTTGATTGTAACCTGCAAATACGTAGACATCAATCAAGTTCACAACTGCTGTGCGTGATGTCATGTGCGTAGTGGCGACACTCTGCTAACGTCGGTCAGCACTGTCGATAAAGCCGAGAGCTTGAAACAAACTACTTGGAGGAGGGATGGGAGACCCTTATAAAGATCTGACTCGAATAACATGGCAGCTCACGCAGTAGCTCCGTTGCTGATGCATTCGAAGACAGTATCAGTGATCAGAAGTTGGTAGGATCGTACTCGAGAATTGCTCACTTGTGGGAAAATATAGACTCGATGCACTTGTGACGATGCTGATGTTAGATGCGCTCACTTGCGTTCGTCACGCACAATGCTTCTTTATGTCATGACCAAGCCCAACGTGAGCGTGAGACATACGCTATGCAAAGCGTTATGTCTTTGGCTACCGCAGCATTCCCAGGCGCTGAGAAGATTCCATCAACGGTTGCGAATGGTACGAAAGGATGGACGTCGCGTCGCTTGTCATTATCGAGTTACTGCAGATACTTTACATCTGCATCAACGGAATGCGTTTCTACTACATTCATAATGCAAGCGTCTAAGAGGCAAGCTAGTCACTTGTTTCCGACAACTCGGACAAAGAAGCCCACGTTCTTCTCACAGACTGCATTGTTCACGAAGCGTTAGCGAACAACGGCGTGGTCCGACGGTAGAACAGATAGGGGCTCTTGGAACAAACTAGTGACACCGTGTTAGCTACGCCCGAGAAAGGTACAACGGCGAGTGATCTCGTTTGTTGTCGTAATCACAGCAGCATCAACGGCTTCCGTTGTCCGCATGACAACGGCCACGACTCTTCTTCCTATAGTCAAGCTGCGGAATCGAGTCGACGCCACGTCGCTGTCATGAGGCAGCAGCTACGCTGCACCAGTGCTCGCAGTGTATTTGCAAACGCTTTGCTCGAAACCACTCGCGCAACTCGCCACGGTATCGTTCGTTCAGGCGGCAGCTGCATCGCTGTGTGCAGTCTCCGTCGGAAACGTCTGTGAAGCACAACAGACGCTGATGAAAGGTCGACAAGTGTCGGTCACGACGTGGTGAGGTACTTGCGCGCGGTCGAACGTATCGCTTCTATAGACGGCGAACTGACCGCTACTTTCCATACGCGAGAGCTGTAGGGATTCAGCGGGTAGCGTGGATTCGACTCCAAATCGAAAGCTCCACGGGACACTGTCGCTCCCCCATCGCACAAAGGCTCTCTCCCTTCTCTCTCTCTCTTTCTCTCTCTCTCTGCACATGCAGTACGCATGCGGATCATGCTACGTGGTCACTTGTCGTGGGACAAGTCGCCAGAGAGCCGGTCGGCTCGAGAGCTACCGTACACGAGGATCTCGAACAGCTCGAAGGGCCGACCCACTTGCTACAGTGAGACAAGTTCAACCTGTTTTCGCACGCGGCGACCAGGACTCCATCACCCACTTCGCCACCCACCCACCCACTTTGCCACCCACCCACTTTGCCACCCACCCACGCGGAAGTGCACGTAAGCCAATCACCGCGCTGCATCGCGCGTCACGATCGCTGCTGATTGGCTCGAATCCCCGCTCCACTGCACCGCGCGTTCGCTCCCGCCCACAGTCCAAAAGCTCCCGGAACGCCCACAAACCTTCGCGAGCCGTCCGCCCATCAGAGCGACCAGAAGCCTCTCTCGCTCTCTCTCTCTCTCTCGCTCTGGACGCGTTCGTTACCCATTTTGCACGTACGATGGCCACCATCTACAGCGGACTGCCCGCCCACATGCGCTTCCCGTTCGGCTCTGCCCACACGCACTACACGTCCAACGACGACGCCGCGGCGCAGATTCAGATGCAGATGCAGATGCAGCAGCAGCAGATGCGGTACAGTCCGTACGTGTCCGAGCCGAGCGCTGTCGAGGGAGTTGTCCTCCGCCGACCTCTCTCGCTGTCTTCGGCGGCCTCTACGGGCGCGCCGCTACTTTCCACGGCCAGCGGTACATTTGGCCGCGCGATGAAACCCCCCGCGCACCCGCTGGGCCCGTTGTACCCCAGTCCCGAGTCGGCGAGCCACGTGTTTCGCCCTGCGTCGCCGCGCTTTCGGTCGCACAGTGTCGCCGCTTGCGCCTACACGCCGCCCTCGAGGATGCACGAGACGTACGCGTCGCCGCCGCCGCTGCCGCAGCACCAGCAACCGCTGCTGCTGTACGCGTCGTCCCGTCTGGGGGACCGCCTCCAGCAGCAGCAGCAGCCGTCGCTCGACGTGCTGCTCGTGTCGCCCGGTGTCCCGACGCCAGTGGAGCTGTCGATCTATGAGATCAAACAGCCGACGGGTTTCCTCCACGTGACACGTGGCAATCAGACGGTCGAGTTCCTGGACGGTGTGGCCAATATGCCGCCGCCGAAACAGCGGTAGACGCCGAAGTGCGCTCTGGCCCTGTGACAGCTTTTTACGGTTAAGAGAAAGAAGAGATGTTGGGGCTCGCTCGACTCGCGGTCTGTCCTCGAGATACGACGCCACGTCGCCAAGTCAAGTGCTGGTACAACTGCTGCTGCTGCTATTCTGAGGGCGTTTTCTGCGACGGATGCAGTAGCTGCTGGATGCACTGGTGGAGCGTTGATGCGAGTGCTGGAAGTTGCCGGACGCGATGGAGTGGGTTCGAAGCGCTGTGGTCGCAGGCGTTCGTCATTGTGGTGTGTGTGTGTGTGTATGCGCGTCAAGTGTCGTCAAGAGGCAGTCGTCAGCTCTTCTCTTCCGTGTGTATTCTATCGGCAGCAGCTCGAGCACGTCGTGGTGGACTGTTCGCTCTCAGTCTCTCTGTGTCTGTCTGCCTGTACCTTTCCCCGCTCCAACTCTTGATCCCATCGTTGACAAAGATAATAAACAGTTTTGCTTTCTTCGCTCTGCTGTCTGCTCTGCTCTCTGCTGTCTGCTGTCTGCTCTGCTGTCCGTTCAGCTGTCTGCTGTCTGCTCTGCTCTCTGCTGTCTGCTGTCTGCTCTGCTCTCTGCTGTCTGCTCTGCTGTCTGCTGTCTGCTCTGCTCTCTGCTGTCTGCTCTGCTGTCCGTTCAGCTGACTACCTCGTGCACCTCGCGGGCAGTACCGCCACAGCTTCAGACCCAGACGAAGTCTCAATTGCCTCCGAGCGAAGAGCTGTTGCAGTGGTAGTAGGAGTAGTAGTAGTAGTAGTTACCTGCCGGGGCAGTGTCTGTGCTGCGCCCACACGACCCGTGAGAGCTGCGTGCTCGCACACGAGACTACCGACAACTGCGGCTGCGTCGCTCGTGTCAAAGACGAGAACGCCGTCGCTCTGGTCCGCCAGCCCCAGCTCTGCCTCGGAGCAGATCATGCCCTGCGACACTTCGCCACGGAACTTGGCCTTTTTGATCTTGAGCGTCCGGCTGAGGGTGTCACGAGGATGTCGGACAGACACACACAGACACACACAGACACACATAGACACACACAGACACACATAGACACACAGACAGACAGATATTCATAGACAGTGAGTGAGTGAGCACGAGCGAGCGAGCAATCCACAACCTCTTGGGCTGTGGTGACCCATTGCTGTGTCGCATTTGTCACAAGGAGAAGCGCAGAGGAGAGGCACAGGTGACGTACAGCTCCCCCGTCTCGGGCTCTCTCACGACCAGTCGAGTGCCCACTGTCGCTACGGGGACCCGCGCGCCCTCACGAATGTTCGTCGCCCCACAGACGATCGTCAGCAGGTCGTTCGCGTCCCCAATGTTTACGCTGCAGACGCTCAGACGACCTGCTCGCGGGTGCGGGTGGAAGGCCACGATCTCACCAATGACCAACTTGTCCCACGTCGTCTCCAGTGCGAGTGGCTGTTGCTGCTGCTGCTGCTGCTGTTGCTGCTGTTTGTTCTCGAAGACTGCAGTCGCCTCGTCACCAGCAGATGTGGCAGCAGAGAGTGGCGCTGCAAAGTGGCGGCGAACCTGTCGACGGCGTACGGCTACAGCAAAGCGGAACGAGAGGGACCGAAGCATTTCGACTTTGGCGGAACTGTCGGTGACGCGCGCAATAGCTCAATTGGCTGTCAACACATCGACCAGAAAGAAACTGTTTCCATATGCTGACGTTCGATGCAAGTCGAGTGGAGTGCATTTGTTGGCATATATCAAATAACAAATGCCAACAAATGGACTCGCAATGCTAATGCCCATCGACAGTGTCGGCACTTCTCCTGGAGTTTGCTCAGCGCGAAGTGCAGCAGAAAGAAGCGACTGCAGAAAGCTCAGAGTTTGCTGAAACCTCCGCCTTCGTACGAAGACTTGTAGGTCGTGATGTGTGGCTTCATCACGGCACTGAACGACACTTTCTTTTGCTATGTGTGATCACCGGCACGCCAACGTGAGGCACTTGTCCTGCTTCGCGTGCCTATGCTGCCAAAGTTGATCACCATCAGCAGTAATATCCAGGAAGTCCATACGAAGAATTGGCTAGACATCTCGATGACAACCCGAGTGCTAAAAGAAGCTGTTGCACAATACAATGGCCATCAAGATTCGACTAGCAAATTGTTGGCACATGCTGGCGCCTTACACGACCCTCTGCTTGTCCGGCGTCACAGCTCTCTGCCGTAGCTGCGCATGGTGTAGTACCCACAGCCATCAGTCGGTTCAAGCACGTGCGAACGTTCGACCCGTGATGGTCTTTTTCTGGGTCTTCGATTGATCTTTCTCGGGACGGGCACGGTTCAACACTAACACATCGCAACAAGTCAGATACGCTGGACAAACAACGTCAACACATTTGAGATAGACCGACCTTGCAGCAGCAGGTCCACGCGCTTCCGCATGCGGATGTGCAAGTACGTCTTGGAGGCCTTGATGTGATAGTGGAGGTAGTTGCGAAGACCCTGGACGAGCGTCGCCGCCTTGATGCGCTTCTCCGTTGTGTCCACGTGCGTGGGGAAGATGGCGAGGCTCAAGTAACCCACGAGGTCCGGTGAGTTACGCAGACCTGGAGCGCCACGAAGCTCGAGGGGCGGGTCCTTGCCAAACGCAACAGGGGGCGCATTGTTCACCGTGCGTCGAGTGTCGACGAATTCCTGTGGCACGAGTGACAAAAACAGGCTCATCGATTCGAACGTTGTTGCAATACTGCATCGACTTTGACATGGACTCACCTGCAAGAAGACACGTGCGATCGCCTGGTCAGTCTTGTCATCAAAACAGACCGAGTACACGATAACGATACGGTCGGCCTGCGGGAGCACATAGATGGTCTCGTTCCGACGATACGGGATCTGCACCGGGCTAAGCGTGTTCGCATTGCCATTCTGCAGTGCTTCGAAACACTGCTCGAAGGGCGCAGCAATGATGTTGCGTTTCAGCACCGCAATACGGTCAATGAAGGAGGCTACAGCAATAACACGACGCCAGCATGAGAGAAAAAAGCAGTTCGTCGACTCGCGTGAGAACCGCACAAGATCGAGCTGGTCGAAGCAAATCGATCAACAGGACGCACCCGCGTTGTCCGGTGTAACAAGGTCCACATTGACCTGCAACGAAAAGTCAAACCCCGCCTTGGGGGCAACGTGCTGGAACTCTGGGTACGTCGCGGCAAACATCTGCTGGGCACCCAATCTAATCACCATCGAAAAGTCAGCACTCTGCCTGACCGCACAAACGGAATCGATGTATCGACTGCGAAGCAGAGGCAACCACATATACCCTTCCAGTATCTTGTACGGTGGGTAGGCCATCGAGACCGTCAAGAGGGTGCCCACAATCGACATATCATACTGCACGTCTAGTTTCCAGCAGACGAAGCGTCAGTACCTCACGGTATATACCGTCCCCTAACCCGCGACAGATACAGCGCGCTATTGCCGTCGTTATCGCAGTAGCGACATCCATCCAGTCGGTATTACCGTCAAAGTCGCACAGACGAATCTCCAACGGCTCGACGGGACGAGGAGCTCTGCGCATTGTCAAGACGTAACCCCACATCAGAAAAAAAACACTGAGCACACGAACGAGCTGTAGGCACGTGACAGCAGTCGACAGAGAGAGAGAGAGAGAGAGAAACAGCACACACTTTTCCCCCAGACGTGCAGTGAGCACCTCCTTGATGATCTTATTCTCCGACTCGAGGAACAGCATCTCGCAGTGCACTCGACAGTCAGTCAGTCGCCTCTCGCACTTCTTGTGGATGCGAAAACTGGTTCCGTCGCTCGTCGTGCAGTCGAGCTGTTGTCGTATCGGTATATCGAGCTACCGGTTCATATCCGGTATACCGACTAACCCTTGGCAAAAAGCACCAGCGTTATCGCTCGACCAATGACGTGGTCGAACGGGTACCGGTAGCCTTTACCGGGGTCGACGACACCAGTCCAAATACGCCGTGATGACATCGTCGCGCCCGCCGCTGGCGTCCTCGACGTCGTCTCTGAGCCTCGTGGGCGGCCCAGAGGAGCTCAATACTGATATCAGCAGTCGCGTGCTGTGCTGTGGTCCACTCGAGAAGCGTCGCGACGGGGCAGTGCGTGGTGGATGGGCCTCGCGGCTCTTTGTTTTGACGCCCGAAGCGCTGTACTATTACCGCAAAACGGCTGAGTCGGAGCTCTTGGGCGAAGAACGCGGTCATGTGCGGTCAATAGAGCTGTAGCAGTGGACAAATGGATTGCGCTCTTGCTGGCGATCCCATGTGGTGATGTGCGTAGCAGTGCCGTCGTCAGCTCACGAGTGGGTACACGTTCGATGTGCGTGTGTTTAGATCGCGCTCGCATCGATCACGAGGGTACGCGCCATGCCGCAAGACGAGGCGCCTGCAACGACGGCAGAAGTGGGTGTCGAGCACTACTACCTGGAGATCTGCACGGTCAGTTTGCACTGTGTGTGGAAGAGGAACTCTACAGCGAGTGCTATCTGTTTGGAGACTGGTTGGTGACGTTTCTTGTTGTTGTTTTTGTGTGTTGGCGGTCGCAGGAAGACCATCTGTACTTGATGCGGACCTTACTTCGAGAGGCGTCGACGTGCGAGAGCTGGTCAACTGCTATCGAGGAGCAGCGCAAGGTGTTGCGCGTGGGAAAAGGAGAGCAATGCACTAGCAGTTCGACCATTGTGGCTTCTGCAGAGGTGCTGCCTAGCCCTACTTTGCTTGCACGGAACCACGACACTTCTACGCGTTTCGTACGTCGATCGCCTTGCGACACGATTGTGTGTCGTGCTTTGTGCTCTGGATGTGGACGTGGTGTGTAGACTAACGTCGAGACGTTGTTTACCGATTGTGATGGCTGACTTGCACGCGAACAGGACGCCTCGCAACCTCGGGTGGCCATGGTCTCGGTTGTGCATGCTAGCAAGCAGGACGCGCAGCCAGCGGAAAAGGTGATCAAACGGCGGATCGAATGGGGCGAAAGACTAGATCTTGGCGTGATTCCGCAAGGAGGAGCATGCGTCATGCTTCTTCAGAATGGCGGTCTCGGTCGTATAGGCACGCAAGCGCTCATGAGCAACTGGGACTCAGGCCGTGCCTGCTGGATCGAAGTTGCGGACGCCGAGTGTCCTACGGAGGTCGAGATCTCAGTAAGTTGCAAGGTGTTGTCGCAAAAGAACCGATCGAGGTCGACCAAGCCTTCGTGTGCGCAGGAACGACTTCCGAAGTGGATGGAGTGGGTGGATGAAGGCGCCAGCATCGGTTTCCTGCTCATGTGCCTGTTCGTTCACTTGCTATACGGCGTTGACGGCTTCCACTGGTCGCACAAGTGCTGCCTTACCGTTGGTGCTGCTCTCGCCATTTCGACGATTCTGAATGGATCTGCGAGAAGTTCACCAACGCCTGTGCCAACGCCGAGGTACTTGAGTCCGACGAATTTTCTACCCAAGCTGCAGTTTACCCTCATTGTTCATCGATGTCGGATAAAGAGGGAGGGTATGGAGTACACGTACCCGCAGGCAACCAGCGGTCAAGAGTAGGCAATGTGCGCCGCATGAGATGGTTTGTGAGCAGCGCGCTGGTTTTCGATACTACGGTCCGATCGGTCGACTCAAGTGACAGCAGACTGGCGATCAAGCCATATGAGATGAAGCAGCTTCAGAGAAATAAATTACTTGCCCTACTAAGGTGTTCCGACGCCTACGCTGCGACCGACCTCCAGGTCCGTACGTGTCGTCTTCCTACTCGTATAGATTCAGCGTCTCTGAACTGCGGTTCAAACGAGGATCCGTCTTGTCGGCGCTGCGTGCCGTATCCAAGAGCGAGACCACAGCCTGGCGATCGGAGTCGGCGTATCCGAGCTCGATCAGGCGCTGGCTGAACTCCTGGAGCGTGAGCGCACCACAAGAGAGACTGCTCATGCCGAGCATCACGTCCATGAGGATCGTCGGGCGCTTGATCTTGAGCAGCGCCGCTCGCTCGATGACACCCATCGAAGGAAACGACAGATTCCACAGCTCGCGAAACTTGCGCTCTGCCAGCTCAGGGTCTTCGACGCTGAGGGACATATCCGCGCTCGCTTCGACGTGACAAGTCTCCAGCTGAAAAGACCGAGTGCGAGGTGCATCTGGATGACGATTGCTGTTTTCGAGTTGTTGCAGCGTATCGACGATGCCTTCGGATGAGCTGCGTTCGCGGAGAAACTGGTCTCGCGGGGACTGCAACTCGCGTCTGAACTGCTGGCGCGAGCGCTCGTGTTGATGGCGTGGCTGCGGCTGACGGTGATTGCTGTAACTTCTCGACGCAGCGGACGGACCTTGCGGCTGCTGCCTCGCTCCACGCTGATTGTGCTCCTGGATGTTGCCAGCTTTTCCCACAGAGACAAACACTTCAGCTTCGTCGGGCAACCCTCCAATCTCGTCTACACAGGTTATGGGCTCGCCGTCGTCTCGTGAGATATCGATGATTTGGTTTTCCTTGACGCTGAAGCGAACTTTGAGCACGTCCATGATCACCTGTGGCTCCGTGCCTTCGAAGTACGAGATGCACACCGTGCGCCCAAATGTCGACAAACTGTTGACGTTCAGGTGCTTGCAACGTTGCTGCATGCGCGATTGAAGCCCCTTCCGCGACCGTGGCAAGTTGATCTGCCACAACCTGCTCACACACACTTGACACACACGTCGAGGACGCTGTTCGTCCACTACACTATTGCTCGCAGCACTTTTCTCACGTTCCGGGTTCGCCAGTCGCGTGTTGGTGCATTTGCTGCAAAAGGCTTTGCGACAGTAGCTGCACTTGTGCTTCCATTCCAGCAGCGAAAACATTTTGTGGCACCGCGAGCAGTTTTCCGTCTTGTTGGATTGCGACTGGAGCGGAACAGGTCGATCTGGGATCAAGTTCTGCAGCAACGTGTCGACCTCGTCCGAGGTGATGCTGTTTCCCTTGTACAGACGGAACTCTTCCACCATGAGGGACTTGACGAACCCTTGGTTCGGGTACACGACGCCCCGACTAGCCAAGGCAAAGTTCACGGCCGTAACCAGCGACCATTTGTTCGCGCGCATCAGATACATGATCACGAGGGTCGCCGAGCGTGAAATGCCCTGCGTACAGTGCACGAGGACGCGGCCATGTTGCGTTCGCTTGGCCGACTCGATGAACCGGTACGCCGCGTCAAAGTACAAGCTAATGTCTGCTTCCGGGCGGTCTTTGATCGTCACGTTCAAGTACTTGACGCCGTCGCTTTCGAACGTGTTGCCCACATCCAGACTCGCGTTCACGACGTGGGTGATCGCAAGATGCGACATGACCTGTTTGCTCTGCGCGTGCCACATATTGCCGAGAAACAAAAACCCCTCGAGGACTTCGTTCGGGTAATTCAGGTTGTGCGTCCCGCTCTTCGTCCGCTTCAGTTGGCCCGAGATCTCGTCGATGAGTGCCGACGTGGTGTAAAACGGGTACCGGTACTTGAACGTCAAGAAGCCGTCGTACATGAGCTTGACACTCGTCACGAGTCCGTCGTCAATGATGAGCTGTTCGAGCTGTCGAAGCCAACTGCCACTCGCGTTGTGTTTAGCGTCCACCCCGTCGTCCGCCACGGACTTCTTCACTGCGTCTCCAAACAGCACCACGTCCCGCAGCTTTCGCTTCTTGCTGGAAAACAAGTAGCGCTGGTCGTCCACGAGCTGTTTCTCCACGTCTTCCAGTGTCTCACAGCCTGCCATGGGCGGAATCGAGAGGGCCGAGGGGATCGAGTCTTGCTCGTACTCGGCTTTGCTGCGCGTATCAATGAGGATCATCCCCCGCGACGCCTGCACCTGGTTGTACAGCCAGCGGCAATTGACCTCGCCGCGACGGACGAGTCGCTTGCTCGGCGCTGCTGACTGCGCGTCGGACGTCACCAGAGCCGCTGCGCCCGCGCGCTCCGCTTGTTGTTTCTCGGCCACGTCTTCGTCGCCCGCACTCGCGTCGGCGCTGCTGTCCGTGCAGAGGTCGTGCCGCGCCATGGCCCGCGTCGCTGCTGCTGCTGCTGCTGTTGTCGTCGTCGTTGTTGTGGTTGTTGTGGATATTGTTGGGGTTGTGGCTGTGCAACAGGCGCTAAGAGAGCTGGTGCCGGTCGACGCCGCCTCGACGCTCGCCATTGGAGTCTGAGGCGCTGCCACGAGCATAGGGAGACGCCCGTCGGCCCTCCGAGTCGCTGGCGCTCGCTCGCTCTTTCGGGCCGCGCACGCGATCTGCACGTCCCGATGCTCTCGCTCTCTCTCGGCGGTCGCGCGCTGTCTATTCGGTGACTACGGTCGGCTGTCTGCGGTCCGCGGTCTATTGTGTGCTGTGTGCTGTGCCGCAGTGGACTGTCGTGGGGCGCGGGGCACGAGGCAGAGCGCCACACGCCAGCGTCGAGATCCGGAGCTCTGCCGGCGCTTAGGGTCCGAAACAGTCGGCCAGCCGGACAGACAGACAGCCAGTCAGACGGTCAGACGGACGGACTGGCTCTGTGCAGAGAGCCAGCGGATCCTCGAGTGTCGAGAGCCGGAGCGCGGACGGAGAACACGCGCTGTGGTCGAGGGGCTGCTGGGTAGTGGATTATAGAGTCTCGTGTGGCAGAGAGGGTATGTCGATAGAAAGTAGGGGCCGAGGGACGGCCTAGCTCCGTGTAGTTGTAGTTTGTAGTGGTTGTCGTATCGTGTTGGACGGGTGGATGGATGGATGGTCGCTACCCTCTTTGTCTCTTGACGGAGAGCAATTACTGGTCACGTTGTATGGCCGATGCCCATCTGAGCGCTACGACACTGCAGCTGACGGTGCGATTAAGCGCCTCGTCGATCCTTCTCAGCACTGTGTGTAACGCGCTGCAGGGCAAGTAAGTCCAGTAAGTCTCGACAACTGTTGCGTTCGGTCCTGAGGTGACTGTTCGACTGACATGTGAGTGGGTGTGGGTGGAGGGCTCACGCAGCTGCATGCAGTTGTGTCCATGGCGTCAACGCGGGCAGCAGCAGCCGGCAGACTGGCAGACTGCGCAGTACAGGATGACCAGAACGACGCAGTCACGTGGTCGTCGTGCCATACAGCGCCGAATGTCGCAACGACGAGGCCAAGAAGACGGCTCGAAAGGCACCACCTGCCTACTCTCTCTGTCTATCGTTCTGTCTATCTATTTATTTATTCATTTATCTATCTATCTCCATCTACCTCTATCTCTCTACATGGCGATGAGGACCATTGCAACGTGCTGCATCTCGGACATCGTGTACATGACAGCGCATGGGCCGTACGCTCATGCGACAGGTATGACACTGCTGCTTTATCGAAGCCCACCTCAACAGCCTCTTTTACTGGTCCGCTCCATCCGTCATACATTCTGTTTAGACCGGTCGCTCGCGTTGAAGCACGCTGCAAAGCCAGCAGCGCGGTCGCCATTGACGAGAAGCGCTCGCGGCAGACGAGTCGTGACCTTGAGGGCTCGACGTCCAGCCGTCGGCGAAACGCAGCAGGTGGTGGCGTAGCGGCTGTTTGTCGCGTTCTTTTTCCAGTGTCCTGCCCGTCGTGGCACAAGCTCTGTCTCTACTGTTCTTTCGTGTGACAGATCTCTGGACTCCATTGCATCTCAACTCTGCTTGTTTGACCCTGCGATAGGTGTCGAGCCGCCGTTTCTCGCGCTCTTGGGCGGTACGCTGGTCATCAATGAGCTTCCAGCGGCGGTAATGGCCCAAAGGGGACACACGTCGGAGCAATGGCCGCATCGAGTCCACCCCGACTGTCTTTGTCTCTCTCGGCGGTCGTCGACTCCTTTGCAAGAAGCACACGGGGAGGGAACCTGTCACTCGCGCAGACGACGATGCATGAACACAAGACACTCAGCATGATGCAAATGTGCAGACTGTGCAGCATTGCGCCCACTAGAGACGGTTTGCCACTCCGTCAAAGGAGCCGCCATCAAGTCTTGTTGCGCCGTCATCAGGGCATTGACTGGCTGACGCTCCCTTTGCCACCACGTGCGCGTATCGATCCACGCGCCGAATCTCTCTATGCGAAACGCGGTCCATGGGGAACCGCCTCTTGCACCCCCAACGCTATGGCCATCTCTTATTCAGAGCTGAGGCCGACGTGGCGGGTCGAGGCGCTACTGACCCTCCGTCGCACGGGGCCCCATCGTGTCTGCGCTGCTGACTCTTTCACGCCGCATACTGTATGTATGTATATATGAATGTTTATGCTGTTCCGTTTCCTAGTCAAAATTTGGGTGACACGTATCCGCGTTCGCGCGCGTCTCCGGCGCCAGCTTCAAACGCCGCGATCAGCTCGAGATTACGGCGAGCGAGCGAGCGGAAAGGAGTCGGAGGGAATAATCAATGGCCCGAAGCCGGAGCGAAAGCCTCGTCTCTCGCCGAGTTGGCTACACCTGCTTCGTCACATACGGCAGGCGGTGCATAGGCGCGCGACGACCCGCGAGAGATCTGCTGCATGTCCAACAGACGTGCGTGTGGACTCCAGTGAACTTCAGAACGAGGCTCCGTCTAGTGTCCGTGTGGTTTCTTGCGCGGGCGTCGAACAGTCAGCTCCATGCAGCCGATGCCGCTGGATCTCCCTCTCTCTCTCTCTGGCTATGGGGCGGGCATTCACTTGCAGCAGTAAAGAGAATCGACAGCAGCCACGAAGTACACACTCCCGTGTTGAGCACAGCTCGAGCTCGTTTGGTTTTCTCGCGGGGCCAGTGAGCGCTTGGAGCCATTCGGTGTTGGGCCACCTCACGCGTCAGGTGTTCTGGCTAAAGCTCTGGATCGAGCGAGCAGCGGGTGCAACTCCGTTGACACGTCCTGCACTCCGACAGCTTTGGGAGTCGGCTCTGATTTGCACTGATATATCCCGAAAGAAGTGTAAACGTCTCGAGCAGATGCGTCTCCTTCGATTGCCGGTCACTTCCCCTGGAGTCGGCTCGCTCTCGCCCCCTTTCTTCCGTCATGCCCCGTGTCGTTCGTACCCTCAGGCGATGGACACGACAGGACGAAGTCCGGCCACTTCCGTCCAACTTTGTCGCGCCACTGACTCAGCTCTCATACAAACTACACGTTTGATCGTCCAAGTCTGCATCCGAGCGCCACTTTGCCCCCTCACTTCTCTCGTTGCAGCTCTCGCTCGCTCGCTCGCTCTGAAGTATGAACAACCGACAACGGACTCGCGGCCGCTCCCAAGCACCTGATCCACCTCCTCGACCATCACATGCACGTGCACATGTGACTAGTGTGTTTTTTCGTTCTAGAAGAAAACACTTTTTTTTCCTGCCGCTTTTGCAAGGCGGAATAAAGCACCAGCTGCGCTAGCATCTGAAAGTAACGCTTAAGTGCAGCACCCGCCGCCGCCACTCCACACACCACTACACCGTTCCATCGCCGCCGCCGCTCGGCGATCTCGTGGCGTTCCCGTGGCCGCCATGTCCCGTCCTGCCGCGTCCACGTCAACCGCACCGCATGCGCTCTGCACCTCTGCCGCGTCGGCCGCTGTCTGCTGTATCTGTATGGAGCGCGAGGAGAGCCACGCGACGCGTCTTGTCCAGTGCCGGCGCTGCGCCATCTGCGTCCACGTCAAGTGCTACGGCGTGCGCCTCTCGAGCCCCGAGGCGCCCACGTGGCTCTGTCAAGCGTGCGCGTCCATCACTGCTGCTACTCCAGCGCCCACACTACCGCCCCAGTGCGCCGTGTGTCCCATTGCGGGCGGAGCTCTACGACGCACCAATCAGCGCGACGTCTGGTGCCACGTGCTGTGCATCAACTGGATCCCGGAGCTCTTTCATAGCCTCCAGGGCACAATGGACGAAGCTGTGGACATTTCGCTGCTGGACAAAAGCCGCAGTGCCCTGCGCTGCCTCATCTGCGGCCTCCGTGGCGGCTGCATCCAGTGCGTCAGTGGCCGCTGCGCCAAAGCTTTTCACGTCCTCTGTGCGTTTCGATGTCCCTCGAGTCTCTTGTTTACAGGCTACACGGCCGACTTCCAGCAAGTCTATCATTGCAAGTTGCACCTCTCGGACGTCCCGACGTCGCTGCTGACGTCCAAGCACGAGCTCGTGGACACGTCGTGGCTGCAGCTGCCAGCAGTGCAAACTTATGTCCAGGACCATCCCGTAGCAAGTGACGGCAAGTGCCGCTTTTGCAGCACGAAAGTCGCGGCAGGGAACAAAGACGGACACGAGACGCAGTGTCTACTGGGATGGCTGGCACGGCAGGATGCACTGCATCGGAAGCAGGAGATGCATCGTCTGGGACTAAAACCGGTTGAGATTGTGTACCAGAAGAAGGACACGCTGCGTGCGGCGAGAAAAGGTGTCGGTAAGTCACGGAGGAAACGCAGTCCTCGCCAGTCGCAGCACGGCAAGCACCAACGACCTACAACGCCGGTGCGCGAGTGTCCTGAATGTGGCGCTGCAGTGCGGGAGACGCTCATGATGGGGCATTTGCGAAAAAACTGCTCCAAGAGTCGGCACGCGGCAACGCGCAAGAACAATTTGGTGTCGCCGAGGAACCTTGTGTATGGCGTCCGGGACGATGCGGAGGCTGCAAACATGTCGGGCGTGTTGTTTGCCTCGTGGCCAGGACAGAATAGCGGGGCGCCAATGGATTCAGCGCACTTTTGGAAAGTAGTGGAGAAGCACTATTTTAGCAGCAGTACGCTTGAGAAAAAGAGCATCGAGCAATTGTCAAAGAGTTTGTGCGGTGTGAAACTGGAGGAGTTTGCGACGGTCTTGCATCGACGGCCGGTGCAACCGTCTGACATGCACTGTCGAGACACGATGCGATTCGAGCGAGACACTGCCGCGTCGAAACAGCCTCTAGTGCTCAGGAAAGTTGCGCACAAGTGCGATTTTGTCATGCGTGCAAGCCACTGTCGCTGTCTGAGCGACTCTCTTGCCAAGCCGACGATTGAAATTGGCCATAATGTCGGGCGCAAGCAGCTAGACACTAATCGAAGTGTTGATTCCACAGAGATACACGTCCCTGTAGACGGCATTAACACAGACATAAGCGTACTGTTTGGAGATGGATGCAATGCAGTAGTTGCGTGCAAGTACTCGATGCGCCTTGCGCGAGGAGAGACTACTACGGGCCAGCAAGCTGCCGATAAGGAGATGTTGGCGATCAGTTTTCGGCATGACTGTATGTCCACGTTAGTTGGATTCGACATGCAGACGAACAAAGTGCCATTGGCTAAGGGCAACATGTTGCTGGTATCTCTTGACGCTTGGACTCAGGTAGAAGAAACAAGACAAGTGGAGGGTCCCTCGCAATGGACGTCGACTGTAACTCATGCTGCTGAAACGACACTTACTGATGAATTGACACCGGCGATCAATGTGCTTATCGAACACCTCAAGGATACGACAGAAAAGAACCGGTACCGCATTTGTACGCCATACATGAAGCTGCAAGAAAGTGAGGGTGACGAGATAAGGTTTCAGGTGCTAGCACAGATGACCGACATGTACTATCGCGAATTTTCGGCGTGGAAACGCTTTTGTATGAGCTTGCTAGTCGGTTATAGTAGCAGTGAGTGCCACGAACATGACGATGAAAGGATAGGCGCTGGTGAAGAAGCACACGAGTCTTCAGAAGACGAGAACGACACGATCGATGACGGCACCTGCGTCGTGTGCTTCGACGGCCAGTCGCCTGAAACAAACCCGATTATATTCTGTGATCGCTGCGAGCTGGCGGTGCATCAGCGCTGTTATGGGATGGCCAAAGTTCCTAGCAATGAATTCATTTGCGATCGTTGTCTGGCTACGAAAGATGGGCTGGATCCCGCACGAGATGTCTTTTGCCAGTTGTGTTCCTTGAACGACGGTGCGTTTAAGCGCACCATTGACGGAAAGTGGGTTCACATCGTATGTGCGCTGTGGTGCCCGAAAGTATGGATCGGCAATCTGTGTGAGCTGTCCGAAATCAGCTTGGTTAGTACGACGAATCAGGTTCGATTTATGAACTCGGTGGAAGAAATTGATATGCGCATCAAGCTGGCATCGGGCGAGCAGCATTCTACTCCAAAACATGACGAACAGCCGGAAGTTCCTGCGGTAAAGTTAGGCGATCTTTGCGTACACTGCAGAGTCGCTTGTGGTCGCACGATTGCGTGTTGTCACCCAGGATGTTCGACATCCTTTCACCCTCTGTGTGGATGGTATGATGGCTTGCCTATGACAGTCTCACTTGCCAACAATCGATACGTGTATGCCGGTGGCGGAGCGGGGCTTTACTTTCAGCTATTTTGCCCGAATCATTTGCCAGATCATTATCCTGCATCAGAGCGGCTATCAGAGCGTCGTCGGCGAGCGCGTTTTCGGATCGATTCGTTCTTCGTTCTGCTCAACAAAGACAATTACAGAAGCGGTGCGAAGAAGAGTTCCGACGATGAGTCGTCTTTGCTATCTGGTTCGATCGTGCAAGCGGTGTTATCAGCTGAGAACAAGATGACGGCGTCCGCAGATGGCTCTCTTACGACAGATTGGACCGACATGGCGGTATGCTCGGCGTGCTTCGAGTACTGTTCGCCTATCGCAGAAGGGCTCGTGGACGTGAATATGCTACATCGAAGGCAGTTTATGATACGTTGTCAGTACTGCAATGTCCATATCCATCCTGAGTGCTGCATTTCGGACATTGGGTCATCCGCTACCATATTCAAAAGCAACTGGATATGCGAGCGTTGTACGCAAACAGGAGACAAGGAGGTGCCAGAGTGCATTGTCTGCAACAAGGCGACCGACTATATGATGCCTTGCATCGAACCGCTTGCTTTAGCGAACCATGTGAATCCGCAAGCTTTTGTGGACCCAGCGCCAGCATTCACAGCGATGCGCTCGGGTTTGGGCGGAGGGCAGCAACTTTGGTTGCAAGCCCACCAGAAAATGCAGCGGGAACAGCAAGGGCAGACTGATGCATGCGATAGCAAGCAGCCTTTGCAGGTGCAGCGGCACGGAAGCAGCAAAGCATCCAGTCCTCCTTCGAACCGATGGATGCACGTTTACTGTGGCAAGTGGCAGAAAGCAAAGACAGTGAAGAGGCATCACATGCTCTGCGCCTACGCTCCTGTAGTAACACAAGAGGGTATTGCAACGCGATGCGAGCTTTGCGATGAAAAGGGAGGGATGCTCGCAAACTGTGCGAAGTGTCAGCGCCGGTTTCATCCGATTTGCGCGGCACAGAAGAAGTTATATTGCGCACGATCGAACCGTACCGAGTGGAAATTCTATTGCGAAGATCATCCTCCTCCAGATGCAGCCTTTGATATAAATCGCCAAACATGGATCACGCAAGCGATACTAGGGCAGTTGCGAGACCTTCGTCGCTCGCTCGAGCGCGGGAGAATGCTGCTGGAGATGTCCCGTCAGCGAGATCGCCAACAGAAACGGCTGCTTACTTTTTGCAAGCTACCGCTCATGAAGGCATCGATAGAAGTGGTTTTGAAGAGGCGTCCGACCGCACCGATGAAGGAAGTATATTATGATCTGACGGGAAACACGTTGACCGACGCACGACGTCGCGCTAAGGCAGTCCAAGTACCGCCACGCAATTTGCAAAACCGCCCACGAAGCAGTCTGCGCGCTACGACTGGAGGTCGCTCCATCCGCGCAAGCAAGCGTTCGGCTGTGCATGCACCTGCAACTCCAGAGAGGAGTTCAAAGCGCCAGCGTGCACACTCAGGTTCCGATGGCTTGAGCATCAATGATCGCAACGCTGGGCGGCGGATTGCCAACCAGAGGGACGTGAGGTATCGAGAAGTAGACAGTAGCGATGACGACGACGACGAATTTGAACTGCAGCAGAAGGCGTGGGCGGATCTTGCAGTACCCGAGGAAGTCGATGATTTTGATTTCGTTGTCGCTGAGCTCTATCCTGAACTCGTGGTACGTTGTGATTGGCAAGCTTACGCAAAGCCTGTTTCCGCGCTCATGTGTGGTTGTCTTGTGCTTTGTGACAGGACTAAGTAAGTCCAGGATTGAGGAAGAGTTTTTGGTGCAGGAGAGCAATGCCTCAAGCGGCCACACTTCTCGCAAGCTACAACACGACTGTGGTAGTCGTGAGGGACTTTGTAAGGCATGTTGGCCGTCCACCCGCACCATAAGCGAGGCATCGATGGAGAACTAGATGCAAGTAGCCCGATGGACTCGTTGTGATTTTCGTAGACCTGGGCCATCACTTCTGCTTCGAAACGGACACTACCGATAAAAGGGAGGGCATTTGCAGCTGCGAGGGATGCTTGGACCACGTGGACGCATGCAGTCGACGACGAAACTCAGCAGAAGCCTTGTAACCCAACGGATGGGGACCAGCCAGCACCAGGTTGTGTGGGAATAGTGACTCATCGCATGCATCTGCTGTTGACATACGATTGGATTCATCAGCTTTTCCACGATTCTTCGCGAACTGTATGCGAAATGATCCTGCGGGCGGGTACAAAAGATGGGATCACGGGTGGCTACAACTCGTGCGCGACGACGACTAGATGGTGCTGAGCGATAGCTTTGTGCGTGGATTCGAGTTTATACGAGGCGAAAGAGCACATATGATCGTCTGCAGTAGAATAAGCCTGTGCTGTCGGCGGTATACAGGACAGCGAATCAATATTGGAGTGATGGATCGATTGCCTGCGTTGAAGAGCACAAGCTTTGGCCCGTGTCCAACGACGTGTCGATTCCGGATGATGGACTTATTTATTAGTGTGGAGGCGATTGTGTGCGCCAACATCGTCAAGCTCTAGTCTATCTCCGACAGCGTGTTGGCTCTGGAAGAAACTAATTTCTCAGTGTGTAGAAGGTTGCATGCGCCGACGAACTGTGGCTTTTGTTCGTTGTATCCACTTCTCGGATTCCAGGGCAATCAGCATTTGCAGCGGTGGAAGTCGAGGTGTCAGTATGTGCCAGTTGTCTACAATCCCGGAAGAGGTGTCGGTGTCCTGGAATGTGCCTTTGGCCGTAGTTGCATGGCTAGTTCGATCGAAGAGGCATTGTCGGTGCGCTGAAGCTGATTGCTCGAAAGGCTCTGTAACACAAGGGCAAACCACCACAGACAAGGGCTGTGCACGATGCTGGTTGTGGTTCATGTTTGTCGTCGATGCTGGTAATGGTATGGACTTGAACTAGGGGCGAGTCAATTTGCACTGCGGGCACCTAGCCCTTTGCTAGTCGAGCATAAGATTGTCGGGTTGCAGAACGGTCTCTTGCATGCAGATTCTACGACGGGTTATTCTTACAAGTCGCGCAGACAACAGCCTTCTCTGTTCATTCGAGGATATACACAACAAGCGTCGAATAGAATCGGGATTCGCTTGCTCATTTGCAAGCAGTGGCGCTGCAATACCACCGTGCACGGTCATTTCGCGAGCACGATGTATCGTTTTCGAATGCCTTGTGTCTAATTTATTGAGGGTGCACGGGTCAGTGCGTCGGGAGACAGAATTGGATGATCCCGTGATGAAGTTGGGGCAATTGCACGTTTCGAATTTGCCTCACACTGGACGCTGACGGACAGGCCTTCGAGCGGAGTGGTGGATTTTGTTCTGGTGGATTCTGCAGTCGTTGAGGGAAACCGACGCTGGTACGGATATGCAAGTCGTGCGCTCTTCAGCATCACGAATACACACGAGATGATTTGGTGCTAAGGAACGGCATCGAAATCGTGGACTTTCCGCTTTTTGATTGCATCCTGAGGACTTTTGGCGGTATCGCACAACATCTGCAGTCATCAAGCTAAACGACGCCACCAGAAGATTGGACACTGCTGATGAGCGAGTAGACCATTGCCGACATTTGAATGAATGAGGAGAAGCTGCGTGACAGCTTATCCGACAATGTCGAACACGGATGAGTCGCTGCGAGACTATTGTGGATATGCTGGACACGAATGTCAATTGAATCAGCATGGGACAATGCAGCGAATGAAGGGCAGTCAATGGCGCTTGAAGAATCGCGAAGCGACCGCAGAACAGAACTGTCACATATAGGTGGAGAGGAGATAAGTGGATACAAACGAGTCGAACGACGACGGGACCCTGCTCATCATTATTTAATGCTGCTTCTAGCACATCCACGCAACCATCGGAACAGCAAGTTTAGTCATCAGCGTTTGCAGCAAAGCGCGAGTCAGTACAACCTTGGCATTGCTGATCGGGGAGTCGGAGCAAAGTTGTGAATGCGATCATTGTCGCTTCTCAAATGTGCAAGTCAGAACACGATCGGTGCACTATCAGCTGCAAAACGGACGCAAGTCGAACAGTTGTGGAGCTGAACTGCGCTTGACACAGGTAGCAGCGAACCGGTTGACATTGGATGCGTGTGACTAAATGAAGTAACTATGAGACAAAGTCTGATCTGCGATTGATGGATCACTGACAGCTACGACGACGTGTGCGTGCAAGTGCGAATCAAGTTGACTTGTCTTCTTGACCCGTTGCGATCTTTTGACTGCGTGTATGGACGCATTCGCCGCCATAGTGCTGTTCCAGAAACGGACACTACGAAGTTCTGACCACACCCTTATCTTGGTAAGGTACTACAGCTTTGAGCTTGCGCTCATAAGGTGTCGTATTCGATACAGCCGTTCTTGGTTCAGAACCACAGAACCAACGAAGCGAAGCAAACGTGCGACGGTCATCTTTCACACTGTTTTGCAGATTAGCGTCCGTAAAGCCATACGTAGAGGTCGCTCTCAGTCGCAAAGACAGCATTGTCAGCATTGTCAGCATCGTCAGCTTTACTAGCGGAAATGAGCGAATAGTGCCTTGGCATCTCATGTGTAGAAGCTCCTCCTGCCAAGTCAGTGAAGTTGGGAGGAAAGATCTCGTGCGTGAAAGGCTTCCGCTACTCAGAACTGGCGATCGTACATCGCAGAGCACGAGCCTTGAACTACAAATGCATTGCTTACCACGCTCAGTGCTGTCGATGGACTGCCCGCTCGCCTATCCAAAAGACCGATATCATTGAAAGCACTGGGATGCTCAACTTGCCCATCGTTATCTTGAGGCCGTAACGCCGAGAACACTGCTCCGCCTTGTAGACAAAAACACCGTCCGCGTCGTGGTGACAAACTTACCGCTGGTCTTGGGCTGTCATGACATTCCACCGCTGCAACTGCGCGGTCGATGTTCAAATGAACGCGTGTGCATTGCTGCTATCTGCACCTTCCTTTCTTGTCGCAGCCTGACCAAAGGGCCAAGTTGTAGGCCAAGTCGTAGATCGTCGAGTGCCTCGACACCCGGCTCGTTCGGCACTCCTCGTATCTGTCTATGATTTAGACACTCGTGCTCGATCGCACTGCGTTCTCGCCACCATCTGCAGACGCTCCAGTGTCAAGTGCCCATGCAAGAGATCGAATGCAGGTTACTGTCCTTGTTCGAGCGCTCTGACTCGCGTTGGCGATTGATTCAATCACTACCGCACATTGGGTTTGCATGGATCTGGTCAGCTTACCGACACTCGACGCCGTATTGACAAGGACAGAGCCTATTTCGGTGAAAGATGTCAGCCTCCCGAGCCACGTTGCGGTGACCTCTGGTGCACACAACATGCCGACTGTCTATCGCAAAGCTCCATCAGCGTTACTCGTCTACGATTTAGCAGTTCGGTGGGGAGCGTTGACCCAAGTCAGCGACCTACTGCTGGTGCACATGTATTTACATCAGAACGTTGTGATGTCGAGCGCGAATTTATAGCTGACATGCGAAATGTGTCGAAAGACAGGTAGCGTTTCCACGGAGAGTTCGAGACCCCACAGTCGGGTGGGGCCACCCGATAAACTTGCGCGCTCACATGTAAATGCGATGATATGTTGCTTCCATCTGCTGGTAAGCAGAATAGCCTGCGTTTCGTCTCTCTCTCTCTCTCAGGAACGTTTACAACTTGAGCACAACGGTGGCAAGAATAGTCGTCTCATGACAATGAGAGGGCCAAGTCAACTCGCTGGCGACACAAGCGCCTCTTGTGCTCGGAGAAGTATGCAAGCAGCTGGCGGAAGGAGGAGCTATGGCATTGGAAGTTGCATCGAGTAGCGATGAGTTGCAGGATGTTGAGCAGACGCCCAGTCCAGTCAGTATCTGGAGGGCAGCCTTTTTGCCTGCTCCTTACCCTCAGCTCGTTCTGCAGACCGATTGTTGGAAAAGTAGTGGGACCCACGTGCTCGATCGGAGCATTTCCTATCATTCCCTTGACATTCCCTCCAGCGCTTGCAATGCACATTTGCACAACATCTCACTACAACAGTCGTAGCTGTTGCCTAATGCGGTCGTATACAACTCGCAGACAGTACAAAGCAGCTTCTCGCTTTCCCAGTTGCAATGGTAAGTAGAGTAAAAGAAGAATTTGCTTCGACAAGCAGCACCGCCTGCGACGAGCCATCGCCATTGACGCGCGGAAGAGGAGTTATACAGATAGCTCGACCAGTTCAGACGTTGTGGTCGACGCGGCAACAAGAGGCCGAAAAGAATAGCAATACTCGCCTGTGTGTTTGCAGCGAGTGGAGCACCCAGGCGAGTATCGCATCAACCCGAAAGATCCCAACGTGTTGTCTGCTATGCGGTATCGTCATGCGCAAGCAGTGCGGTCTCAGTGGTCGTGGCTCCCACCGCACGGACGAGTTTCGTTGGTCCCACTTCGTCATGTGGCTGTTTCGAAGATGGGCATCGCCACTTCTCTGACCTGCTGCAGTGTGAAAACCCCCGCAGGGACAACACGAGCTGCACGCGACAGATGATGGCTCCATTGGTCTCAGCTGACTTAATTACATGAAACGGGTGAAAGGACGCGTGCCCTTCTTGCCAGCTTTGTCCCAATGCTTTGCTGCTGGGCGATAAGAGAGGGCAGACCGTCTGTCAGAGCTACTGATCACTGCGTAAGGTATCTGTTAAGCGGGGGCGCCACCTCGGCCGTCGACCATGACATGACCCTTTTCCTACCGCGTTCCTCATTCTGCCAACTCGATACTGCAGGCGTCACGGGGGACACTCCTGAAACGCCACGTGAGAATAACCGTTGACCCTGTCTGACGTTGGAACTACATGTACGTGCGCCCTCTTGACCGGATGGCTACGCTTAGCTCCTGCTTCCATCTGCTTTGGGCAACAGAGGACGCATAGGTTGAAGATCCGTTCCACTCAGGAGGTCCGGGATATCGGCGGATTGCTTTCGTTGCCTCTCGTAGCACACGCGCAGCGGAGAAAAAGACCTCTGTCCCTATTGACTTTGGCCTTACGAACAGGGGACTTCCCATTCACGGTGAGGATGCCAGAAGACTGGCTCTTCCCGGACGCCCTCCTCGTCCCTGTCCACGTTCGCACCAGGGCGTGAATTGGGAAGTCGCGGATCTTGAAGTTCCGAGGGTCTGTCCGATCCAAACCGTCGGATTCAGCCTCGTTTCGACAGCAGACGCAGCTGGAGCTCCTGGATGCGGCCATAAGGTGGCCAATCTGACCACTGTGGGTCATCCATATGTATACCATACATTAGGCGTCGCGACCGCCTCGGAGCTCTCCTCTCTGCGTCTAAACGGTGCACGCGTCTTAGCAGATTATTCCGTCTTCCCTCCTCCCATCAGTCATTCCCCTCCCAATCGACCAGTCGCACGTGCGACGTATCGAACGATCTATGTATGACATGTACTTAGGTTCGATACAACAGCCCGAAACAGCGGAACCAGTTCCCAACTCGCACTGAACCCAAGAGATCCGTCATGACCGACACAGCGTGGAACTCGCTGCCGTACCTCTCCGGCTTTGGCAATACCTTTTGCTCCGAGGCGCTACCCAATGCGCTTCCAAAGGGGCAAAACAGTCCGCAAAAGGTACTTGTCACACTCTCTCTGGTGATCGCTTTTCCAATAAAGATACAAACGCAATAATTTTCTCACTCCCCTTTCTGCCATCATAGTGTCCGTATGGCCTCTACGCCGAGCAGCTCTCAGGGACTGCATTCACGTTGCCACGGCACAAGAACCAGCGCTCGTGGCTCTACCGGATCCTCCCGTCGGTATCGCACGGCAAGTACCAGAACGTCGAGCACCCGTTCGTGAAAGGGGACTTTGCGCACGAGAACCTCTCGCCGCAGCAAATGCGGTGGAGCCCTATGCCGCTTCCAGATCCGTCGGACAAAGTGGACTTTGTCGCTGGGTTGCGGACCATTGGTACGAAAATTGGTTCGGTCGAGCATTTGAGCTCGCGAGCACTGGGGTCGACGAAAAGAGAGAGACGCAAGTGGCACTAATTTGGTGCGACGGTGGGCAGGTGGTGCGGGAGACCCGACCATGAAAGCGGGAATGGCTATTCACATGTACGCGGCCAATGAATCCATGGTGGACAAGTGTCTGTACAACTCGGACGGAGACTTTCTGATCGGTACGCTCTTTGGAGTATCGCAAATGCATTCCAAGCCATCGCTGCAATTGGACTGTGCTGACGCTCTGTTGTTGCAGTTCCACAAGTTGGCACGCTGAAAATCACGACTGAATTCGGGCGACTCCAAGTCTCGCCGCACGAGATCTGCGTGTTGCAGGTACGAACGCGGTGCATGGAATGGTAGTGCAAAGATGTGTAGGTGTGTGACTCTGCAGTTGCAATGTGTGTGTGTGTGTGTCTCAGCGCGGTATCCGCTTTACGATCGAGCTTGACGAGCCTTCACGTGGCTACATTTTGGAAGTGTACAACCGTCACTTTATTCTCCCGGACCTTGGACCGATCGGCGCCAACGGACTCGCTAATCCACGTGACTTTGAGCACCCGAGTGCTGCTTATGAAGACCGTGACTGTGAGTACATGGTCATCAACAAGGTGAGCTGTCAGAGAGTTGCGTGACTCTACAATAAAACGTCTGGCTGACTTGTATGGTTGCTGTAGTTTGGGGGTCAGCTGTTTTCAGCTCGCATGACACACTCCCCATTCAATGTCGTTGCTTGGCACGGAAACTACGTTCCATACAAGTACAATCTCGACAAGTTCTGCACGATGAACTCGGTCAGCTTTGATCACCCGGTACGCCGTTGAGGGCGATAGTTATCAATTGACAATGCTCCTAGTGCAAAACCCTCGTACTGACGTTGTTGCTGTACTTGCCAAATTGTTGCCACAGGACCCCTCGATTTACTGCGTCCTTACATGTCAGACTGAAGAAGCAGGGAATGCAGTTGCAGACTTTGTCATCTTCCCGCCCCGATGGATGGTACCTGATCGTTTACAGCGCACCAAAATGTCATGCAATGTCTCACATCTCTTGCACAGGTTCAAGAACACACGTTCCGCCCTCCTTACTTCCACCGCAACTGCATGAGCGAGTACATGGGCATGATTCATGGTACCTACGACGCCAAGAAAGATGGTTTTGTTCCGGGTGCTGCTTCGCTTCACAGCGTCTTCACACCACACGGGCCAGATGTGGCGACCTTCCTGGCTGCCTCGAACGAGCAGCTCGAGGCACGGAAGTTCGACGGTGGCTTGGCTTTTATGTTTGAGACGACGTACTTGATCAAGCTGACGGACTACGCACTTGGCTGCGACCAAAATGACCAGCACTACTTGGACTGCTGGCAAATAATGCCCAAGCTCTTTAATCCCAACCAAGCTTGATGTGGCGAGCTGCTGGATCAGTATGTCCTGCGCACGTGCATCCGAAGGACAACATATCGAATACGGTTATATACAAGGTCTACTCTTGCACGTATCGTTACATGACAACTACATCAAAAACTTAGATTGTCTTGTCTTTCAGTCGGGTGTAGGTCGCGTGTTTACGCAATACGTTGTCATTGCAGTGCGTAAAGACGTTGAGACAAAGGACCACCCTGTTGCCACATGCTGTACCAATGATCCCAAGACCTCAAGTACGAGCGAGAGGCGTCGACTATTACAGCAATGCTTCGCTTACCTCCTAGAATACATGAACTTGGCAGGCGACAAATACCTCCACGGTCGCATAATCACTGATATCGAATCTTACGCACACGCTCGAAAAATGCTACGACTTGCGCTCTTTGCGGCCAGGTCACGTGTATACAGTCAGTACACACTAGCATGACGGTATCATCGACACGCGTTTGCCCTTTGTACCTAGTGTTAAGTTCGCTCTACCTCTCGTGGAACGATCACTCAGCACATCCAGCGTTCAAAAAACCTCACTCTCGTTCGAGTACCTACTGACGCCTCATACCAAACATCGTACCAACCACATCAACTGACCTAGAACCGCATACGTCGAGTGCTGTAGGATCCCTTGATGCACAATAAAGATGAGAAGCTGGTTGATGACGCTACATTGCAACGGGTCTGGAACGGGCATGACACCTATGCTTACGGTCACAATTTGCTGGATGCCAAGACGTTCCAAGGCACGGGACGGTCGGAATATGCCATGGCTTTGACGCCCGTCGATTTACTTGATACGCTAAGAAGTTGGCGTGCTCGATGATGCTGATCGTGCTAGCGAATGAGTCGCCAGTAAGATGGAGTAGCGGGTCGTAAGCCGTAGATATTTTCGCTTCTTTACAACGTCAGGTCGGCTCATGGGAGGATTGCTCTCGTCGAACTACTTGTCGAGGCAGATCCATGTGCTTGTGATTGCCAATGAGCTCAGAATGGCGCGTTCTCCGACCTTTGACGAGTCGGAACACTGCTTACCAGGCAAACTTTTGGCGACGCGGGTAGCTGGATACTCGGAATACGAGGAGCGAGTGGACCGCATTGCAGATACCGCAAGGCGTATCAAGAGCGGCGTGGCTTGGACCACTACTCTGCTTGACCAGCGAACTTTCGTCAACTAGGTCGTGATTGCAGTTTGCAACACGAGTGGGCAAATGGATTCGGACGGTCTTTTGCCAGTTCTCCTGGATCAGGGAAGTGGTGAGGCCACGAAGTCTAAGGCCACCGTAGGTGCTACTGGCAATAGTTACTGCGAGTACCTGCTCAAGCAGGTACATACATGTCGACGTCTGACGCTCACGCGATATGGGTACTAACGTTCACGCTTTTGCTCGTGAAGCCGACTTTATCGGGCGAAAACGACATCAGGTATAGATCCCAGTACATGCACGCGGTCGATGGCATTAGGGACAAGCTTGTGAGCAGCCGAAGTCCAATGATATGGTGTGCATCGGGGAACTCGTGCGTGGCAAAGTCGAGCCCAAGTTGGATCATGAGGTGTGCTTTGTGCCTGGTATGCTGGCGTTAGACCACGTAGACAGCATGTTCAAGGCGCACCTCACGCGAATAGAACAGCCTGTCAAGACTTGCTACCAAGTGTGCGAGCAGATCGAGACCAAACTTGCTACCCAAATCGCGTACGCTAGCGTGAAGGAAAGTGTCGAGAATGGTTTGGTCGTCAGCGCAACAGACGCACTCGATCTGTCGTGTCCTGGAACGGTGGACAGTCGAATGATGGTTCGCTACCGCGGCACAAAAGACGAGAAGTATTGTGCATACGGCCGCGAAATCACGAAGGCATTCGACTTGCACGATGTTGTCAGTATTGGTATGACCAGCAAAGTTCGACCGAGCTCGAGTCCACGCCGGAAGAAATATAGGGCAAGTAGCAGTGAGACGGATGGTCGTAGCCAAGTGCGACGCGATGGTTCAATGGCTCTTATCAACGAATGAGCATATCATGGGCCTGGTCACCTCATCACTACGCACGTCCTGATCAAAAGACGCCCCTGGCGGCAAGCAGTACTACCGGCTACCTGCAAGCAGGCGGCAATCTAATGACGGACCCGACCTGACGTCATCGAATCGGGTCTAGTCACGAGCGCTGCCATCAAACACCGACATGCAGCAAAACCCAAAGCCCGCCAGCGTTTGCGACCGGCTACAAGGCACACAACGTGGTCTATCGAAGTGCCTAGCGGCTTCAATAGTATGTGACTGGAGACGTTGTTACGCGTAGTGACGCCGCAGCCTTTGTGCGCTTCAGTAGCAGCTCAGACCGTCTCGCCCGCACAACGTCGTGGACCGGTCAGGTGTAGTGTTTGGCTGTTCACATGCTGTGGCTCACCCTTTGGCTTTTCCAACCGTATTCGCTACGACTGGACCCTGTCACCTCCGGGCATGTAAACTCATGTTCAGCACTTGCTCCAGAGAATCCTGCGGCAGTCTGTCTGATCGATTCGTGGCCATCGCAGTCGCCTCCAGCTGCTGCCAGGTGGTAATCTAGCGTGAGACCGTCCGTAGCATGGCGAGTGGCCCATTTCCACAGGCAATCGGTTGTGATTTCCAGCGACTTGAGCTCCGCGCGCGAACGTCTGTGGCAGACAGCAGCAGATGGTGTTGCAGCGTCGTGAGCGTTTCGTCTCATCGCCTGCGTCTCGTGTGTAACGCTGTTGCTTCCCACGTGACACACACGTACCAATGCATTCAGGCGGCGCTACTGCCCTGCGCGAAGTAGTTCAAGACACTCTTCCTCCATCAATGTGTACAAAGCCCAGCAGCCACTACTGCAACTCCTGCAACTACTGTTACTGCCGTGCAAAACGTCCCTGAGACGCGCTCCTTCTTCCTCTGTCGCGTAAACACTGTGCTTTCTGCTAGTGCCACTGGTCGTGTTACGCACGACCAGAGCGTCCAACCTGCTTCTACGCACACCGCCGCCCGTCCACACGCGTGTCACAGGTCGCACGATTACCAGCTGCAGTAGCGCTCCTTCTGCCAGCCAGCCAGCCACCTGCCGAGTCCCACTTGACGCCTTTGGTTGGCTTGTCGCGCAGTGGCGGCGGTCGTCCCTTTCGTGGCCCCCATCACCGCTCGTGCCTTGAGCCCGTGTTGCTTCACTTTTGAACAAGGCGGTCGCTCGCTCGCTCGCTCTCCACAGATTGTGGTCGGTCCCTCGTGGCACTAACGACGTCGGAAAAACGAGGAAGAGGGGCAACGAAAAGCACGTGCAGAGACTGGGAGCTCTGCGACAGCCCTCTCGCTCGAACAGCCTCAAGGCGCACCTCCACGTCCCTTCCCCCACACACGTATATACACACACACGTACACATACACACAGCGCCTCAATATGCCGCTTCTGAACGACGTGTCGCTGAACCCGCTCTACTCGCCAGTAGACTACGACTCTAGTGAACCGCCGAACGCGTGTATGACGCCAATGGCATTTCGGGAAACCAAAGTCACGGCCCACTTGTCCCGACACAACAGCGCCTCGGACCCCATGACCACTACGACCAAGAGACGTATGTTCCCGACCTCTTCGATGCGGTCGTCAGCCACTGCGTCGTCAGCTGCGGCAGTGTCGGCCGCTTTTCGACTGAAGTCGAATCTGTCTACTGCTACGAAATTACCCATTGCACGACAACGTCCGACGGCGATCCGGGCAGGAACTGTACCCGACGGGAGTACCGCCGTGCGCGAGGAGTGCCCGGTCAAGTCGCTCGCGAGGTCCCACACCGAGTCGGCGGCTGGAAAACAACACGACCAGGCGAAGACCGCGTCGCAACGGTTTGCCATGTCGTCGATTATGCGGCTTCGGACCGTCTCAAAGGACAAAGTGCACTCGAAACTCGCGGCTGTTACCCACCTCAAGAAATCACACGGCGGCCGACTGAAGCGCTGTACGAGCACAAACAGTAGCGGCACTTATGCCGACAGCGAAGAAGAGGCTGAACTGAACGGCGAGTGTACTTCGTCGAAAGCTCACAAGTCGGCTATGACCTCTGCCTCGCGCTTTGTCAAGGGCATGCCCACGATGCTAAGACGCGCAGTCTCGACGAACAACCCATTGGATGAGGCCCAGACGAGTCCGTTCGATGGCAGCGACTGCTACACGCCGCAAGATGAGACGGCGACGGACGATACAGAAGACGACCGGCAGTCGTTGCTGCTGATGCTGCAGGTGCCCCAGACGCGAAGATACTCCCAGCTCCCACTCATGGCAGCCAGCGAAGGCTGGTGAATGAAGCAGACGACGAGCTGTCTGTCTTTCGTACATCGTGCGCTACTTTGGGTAGTAACTTGACGTCACGTTTTGCGAAAGTAGCAACGCACACGAGCTGAGCTCTTTCACGAGTATATATCTAATTATCGCTTTGGACGATGATCACGTTGGGACGACTGTGCACATACATGTAGATTAACGCGGCCATCAATGCGTTGTCTCTCTGTTAACGGTTTGTACTCGTTCGATAATGTGCATTCCAATGCCATCTGAACGTTGTCATCGCTTGCGTTGACCAGAAATTAATTTGCTTTTCGTGTTCAGTGTGCATGGTTGGAGGTTACAGTGCGGAAGCGACAATAAAGCACCGTATCGATCTGGGATGATCAACGTCGTGCTGATCGGTTTGGCTGAGTACGTAGATCTCACGTGCTGACATTTGTATGTTATCGAATAAAAGTGTACATCTTAGGTTGACGATTCTATGTGTACCACGTAACACACTTAGTACTGGCAGTATTTAGGCGACGTCAATCACCAAAGATCGATAACAAGATATACAAGTATGTGTCCTTTGCGCAAGAGTGCATGCCTTGCAAATGCAGTTGTCTCTGAAGCATTTTGTATTGTTATTCTGTGAGGAGCTGCTGTAACGTATTGGCTAGTTGGATTTTGAGGTACGCTCTTCAGTACCTGTTCGTTCGTGTAATTAGCCGCCGTTCGATCCTATGTAGGATCATTACGTTCTCCGATGCATCAATCTTTTTGCTTCTGTGCCCTTATCTGATGCTGAGAATACTGCAGCCGTGCTGCAATACTCATGCCAAGTTGTTGCAGTCTAAGTAAGTCGTACTCGCAGTATGTGTTTCAGGTACAACGGCACGCACGTTATGCTGCAAGATAGAGAGATAATACAGGTAGATTGATGCTAGAAAGATGAGCTGGAGAAAGGCTGCTAATTACGAGACGGGAACGATACACTCGCACTCAGTGTATGCGTGATCGTGTCTTGAGGGGTGCACTATACTTAACTGTGTGACAGTGCGAATGCAAGCTGCGAGTAGTACGTTATTTGACGCGTTGTAGATACATACACGGCACTAATGTCTGGCATATAACGGTCGGGTATAACAAGCACCAGAATTGCGTTAGTGTCGGCCATCCTTCCCCATTTCTGTCGTCCGTGATGCGTTGTCTCCCGGACGGGCCTTGTCAGGAATAATTTTGCTGCATAAACTTCGTCACGCAGATTCGATATGTGCATTTGGGCAAGTAGTGTGCTGTTCCACATTGACTTGATGCAGATTTAGGTTAGTACCGGTCACAATAGCTCTTTTGCATATTCCTTCGTATGATATCAAACGTCTGGAATTCAGCACGCTACCGTATCCCCACTGTAACGAAAAGGGGTGCATTACTAGTGCAATCGCTCGGCTACTTTCGACAGAATTTGTCGATCGAGAACTTCCGATGTTGAGCATGTACAAAATGCGACTGTGTACATTATGCGTACGACCATGATCGATGCCAACATCAATATCAATATTTGAGGCTGTTAATCTCAATATTGGCTCATTAAAGGGTCTACACTACCAGTCAGGGATACAAAGGCTGGCAAAATACAAATTATCTTGAGGCTATGATCGGCACAACCACACTGATGGTATTAGGATGTTTGCTGGTATTACCTACGTCAAATTTTATATTTCGAAGCGCTCAAATGACCCAACGCGTCTTCAGGTTATTTCTGTGTTTTCGTATATTAGTATATTTATGCGATGTATAATGTACGTATATATTGAATATTTATATATTATCTCACGAGAATAAAAAGATCTCCTCAGTTTGATACTATGCAATATTATGATACCTTAAACTTAAAAGCTACACCATAAGCGAGCAAATTAGTGCCCCAATATAAAGAAAAGTGAGCAAATGAGGTACACTGCACAATCGAGCACGTGCGTGTGTGGGATTAGTCACATCCATTGCGCATATCTTCTTACTCCTTTTTAAATCCCACTCATCATGATTCGTACTGGTTCTTTTCGTCGACAGACGTTCAAAAAAGAGATACATTGATCCGGCGATCCGAGGATAAATGAACGAATAACTAATCGTTCGACTGTCATGTCGAATTTCTGTAATTTGATTGATTGAAAAATACGGGATGACATTGTAGTAATGTAGCCTTAGTCTTGGCGTTACAGATTTAAGTTACTGAGATGCAACAGTGCCGTATTCTAAATGACACGTATAGAAAGCTATGCAGTAGGTGTAAATGAGATTGTATTCGCCCGAGATAGCACGCAATGACTTATATGCACGCACCACAAGGAAGGGGTGAGATCGTGGAGATCAGCAACACGATTAGGATTGATTGAAGGCGGTCTAGGGGATGATTGTGAAATTACATAGTGGCTTGCACCCCCCACAAAACACGCTATATTACGAAAATGTTAGTTAGTATCACAACAAAGACTGCTGCTGATGGAAATGATGTCCTTCTGTATACTGCAGAAGAATAGAATTTGAACAAAGTAGCAATATTGATATCTAGATTGGAGCACAAAATGAACAGCTGCATAGCAGATCTCCTTTATCGATCCACATCGAATGAATAGCATATTAAAATTCAGTAATTTACGTGACGATATTATAATCATGGCAGCCGTTTTTGTGACTGCATAATACTTTGACGCTCACATAGCTGATGTATACTATGTGACAAATTCGTCAGCGTGCCAACAAATCATCTGGTAATATAGATTACTGATGGAGAAAAAGACCGATCCGGCACCATCAAGCAGCAACATTGATCTTTCTATACTTGTATAAATTAGGCTGTTATGAGATCGTACAAAATCCTTCTATTCTTACCCATGAGATCTCTCTCACTTGTTCCTTCTGTCAATTGGTATGCATCAGTGATGCATTCTTTATACCTAAGTTTCCGTATTGTATTGCTTCGTTATCTTGTGGTGTATTTTTATGAGCTTACATTGTCGATTCATTTTTGACTGGTACTCCGAAGCATTGCGAATTATCTTAAGCTCCATTGTGATGCATTTTGCTCTTATTTTATGTTTTTTATTACGCGATGGATCCGTGTATTACGTAATCTAAATAACTTTTGACATTTTAAAATGGTATAGAAGCCTGTATCTTATTTACTGGGTGTAGAATATCATGTACTAACGTGCTAATGATGATAGAACCAGACTCTGTATTAGCCGGCAAGACATTGACCCGTATTGTATTGTCTAGTAAGAATCTTACTTAACGTATTGTTTTTGAGAACAAAGAATAGTGATTATAAAATTCACTATAAAACAAGAGCGCATCTTCATGCACATAAGTGTAAGCATTAACATTGTTATTTGTCCCCTCACAACATACAATTATGAAGAAGTACAACAACGTGAAACTGTAGATGCATACTATGTACTTTAATGTACGCGTACACTTGCTGAATCGAATACATTATTTTGAATTTGCGCTCGGTAACCAATTGTACATAGATATCAGTGTGATTCCAGAAACGTAATGAAATGTCTCCGCGCAACATAATGCGGCCTTTTATTTAGTGCATTGGTGCTGTATTATCCCATGTAAAGCATAGGCAGACAATGTATATCACTGGCAACGTAGAAGTGTGCTTGGTCGAAGTATAGGCTGTATATAGTTTTTCTTTAATTGATACGAAGAATGTATATAATTTAACGTCGTCCCTTAGTTGATAAAACAAATCGCTTCGTCTATCAATATTTACTTTTATTATCATTTTCATCACTTTGCGGTTGAATAATGGGCATATGTGCGACTAAAATCTTACCGTAAATGACACGCAACTGCATCGATGCAAGAAGCCTGGTGAATTTTGTGACTAATTTGCAAATAAATTTTGTTGAAGGGCCTTACGATTGCGGATGAGATAGCTAACTAATAAACAGCTGTCACGATGTGTACTCACTACTTTATTTCTCCAATTATCGCTTATTGCCACACTCTACAGACGGTTTTGTTATTCGTCTTAAGCATGCACTGCGTAAAAAACTGCATTATTTAATAAAACATTAATCTTAGATAAAATTGCTAAGTTCTGATGCTTATCGCCATTTCCATCGCTCTTTCTTACTGCGCAATACTACAATATGTGTTTAAGAACGCTCACGTATAATACCTGCATTCGGGTTCGTATAAATAGAAGCTCATATTGATTCGATCAGAAAATGCACACGACTGGACAATTATGCCACATAATGAGGTAAGCCTGATATTTGATTTTAGTGCTACATGTTCTGATGATGAGAAACATTGACCTATATGTTGCTATTACATTAGTGCAACACAACGTGGTATTACTTCAGTAAATCAAGGATTATCTCATTAGTTGATTATATGAAATCATATCAACACACCATATCATGCTTGGAGCGCGCAATGGGCGATGAGTAGACGTCAACATACCTTTTTGTATATTAAATATAAAAAAGACTAATTGACCACGAAGTGATTTCAGGACGGAATCCTATTCAGTTCTGTTTTGCTTATACCACTATTACGCTACACTCTCTTGTTAGTTGAGACTTTCTGTGTATAGTATACGTGAGGTGGTAGGTCTGATAAAGAAATGCTTCCAGGAAGAGTATGTTTCGTACTGTTCACTAGTACGTGACTGCCAGTGCTCTGTTACACGCCATGTACCTTCCAGTATTTCAGCAGATAATGACCAAGAGACATTTCGGCGCGCATATTCTCAACCCACATATCGCTAAATCAGAGACGGGTCTATTCACTTTCACAAACGATTTATGTGCTACATCGATGACGGCTTTTCCAATGCTAACAAAGGAGAGAATACAGAATATGGATAGATTAATGCTTCTATTACATATTAGTAACGATCAGCAATGATTCTGATATCTCGCCAGCGGTTATCTTGTATCCTCATTGCTGTGCATTTTCAATCAATCATGCGGCTCCAATGGCCTATTTAGCATAATTTATACATAAAT